CCCCCAGACGCATGCCGCACCCATCGGTAGTACCAGCCTTTGTGGTGTTGGCGTCAACTGCCGCGGCCACAACGCCGACCGCTTCCGGCGGGCCGGCGGCGATGGCCCCGCCGCCTCGCCGACCCATGGCGGCTTTCGCCTCCTCCACCAGTGGGAACCGAAGCGGCAGTCCGGAGAGAAGCGGCGGACGAAGAAGAGCTGACGACGGTGATGACGTAGTGCTTGGTTTCGAAGGCAACACGGCGGGCGTAATGCGGAGACCTGGGCACCCCCCTGGTGCTGCCGCCGCCGCCGGGCGGCGGCGGCGCTCGTTGGCGCTCTTGTCCTCCCGGCTTGGCAGCAGCAGCAGCAGCAGCAGCAGCAGCAGTAACAGGCTAGGCTTTGCGGCAGAAGTGCCCCGATTAGCGGGGGGACAGATCAAGACCAGGTGGTGGAAGGTCAGCGCGTCCTCCTCGAGCGAGGTACAACAACGGAGGGGCTTGTCCGAGTGGGGCGTCGTCGCGACGTCGACCTCATGGCGGCTTGGCAGCAGCACGACTAGTCGGGCAGGGAGCAACGACACCACCCCGTCGTCCAATGCGGACACCTGGAGACATCGATCCGAACGTCCGCCCGCCGTGTCGAGCGATGCCGATGGTAGTGGCGCGGCGGACACGGCGGCGGCGGCGGCGGCAGCAGCGGCTTATTCGGCACTGTGTCCGGCGCTCCACGGTTGGCCCTTTCCGGAGGTCGTAGAACCGCCTCCCCCACAGCAGCAGGTCGGACGGGAGCGGGAGCGGGAGCGCCCCCCCCCGGTGGGCCGAAGACCTAGTGCTGCCGAAGTAGAGGCGAAAGTACCCGGAAGAGGAACGGCTCTGACGGCCGACGCCACCGGCGTCGCCTCTGCCGCCGATTCCCACGGTGCTCGTGCCGCCACCGCGGTGTTGACCGTCGAAGGAGACGGGCAAGAGGAGCTGTCCGGCCGCAGGGTTGCGGCGCCTGGGGTGGCAGCGGCGCCGCGGCCGCCTCCCGGCCGCGCTGGTGCTGCAACGGGCGCGTTCGGCGGGGTTCGTTTCGACGTCGCGGCAAGCGCGGAGGGCGGCAGCGGTGGTGTGACGGGCGGGGCCGGTAGGGTCGACCCAGGCGAAGGCGGGAGGGCTGCGGTGAGCACCGGCGGCGGGCGCAGCGGCGATAGCGGTAGCGGCGATAGCCGTAGCGGCGGCGGTGGTACCGGTGGCAGTGGTAGCGGCGGTAAGAGGGCGACAAGAAAGAGGCTGAGGGGCGGTGGCGCGGCCACCTTTGAATCCGCGGAAGACAGAGCTCTGAGGCAGTTGTTGCTGGAGGCGACCAAGAGCGGGAGAGGGGGTGTCGCACTGCGGGCCCTGCGGCTGATGGTGAGGGTGTTTTTTTTTTTACAAGTGGTACCGTAATAGACGCGAAACCTTTTCGACGTGCCCCCCCCCCCCAATGGAAGCGCGAGCGGTTTATTTTTTTCTGGGGTGAGATTGGGCCCTAAGCGTGATTCGAAAGGGGGTAGTACAACAGAAGCATATGCCTGCATCCATTGGGACGACACCGAGAAAGGGAGTTGTCAACGCCGTGTATGCCCCGGTTCTCTGATCGTCTTCGAGTCATTTTTTTTGTTTGGGTCCCCTGTTTGATGTCGTCTTCGGCGTGTGCGAAGAAGTTTCTTGAATCTTCTCCTGCTCCTTTTTCTCCTTGGACGAACCACTTGTTCGGCAAAAGCGCCTAGCTACGGGTATCATGAGGGAAGGTTGCAAGAGACGCTTGCGGGCTACCGAGAGTGCATCCGCGGCGGAAAAATGTGTTTGTGTTTTTCGTCGAAGGAAGACGTTCGGGGCGCTATCGCTCGTGCCATGGGGGTCGCCACCAAAGATGGGACTACCTTCTAGTGGTGCGCGTCAAGGAGGCTTGTACTACTACGATTTGTGGGTGCAGCTTTCGCGGCGATGATGCTGTGGTGGTTTTCGTGGCTCTCCTTCTCCTCCTGTTTATCCTGTCTGACCTGGTACCTCCTTTTGGTGCCCATTCTATGCCAACTGGCGGCGATGGCTCGTCCTATGTTTCTTTTCATCGTTGTACAGGTGGAGGAAAACCTCTCGGTGAGCCAGAAGCAGTACGTCGGCGCGATGGAGGCGTGCATGCGACAGGTGAGAGACAAGAGGGAGAGAGAGCGAGAGAGAGAGAGTGGGGAGAAGAGGGAGGATGAAACCGGGGGTGGGGGCACCGTGCAATGGGTGGGAAATTGTTAAACACAATGGAGGGAGAGCATGCCGCCGTCTACCGGTCGTATTTTTCCTGCGCGCGTGCCCTGAACGAGACGCAAAATGGAACGGGTCAAGGGAAAGGGGTACGCCATTGAAGGGGGTGGTGGTCTCCGATGGCGTACAGGACGATAGCAGCCTGTATTGGCGCCCGCGGGGTCCCCGGAAGGGGGGAGGGGGAGGGGTAGTGCTGGTGCCGGTGCGGGGACGTTGTTTTCCTCCGCTCCTCGCTGCACCGCTGTTGGGTCATCTTTGTGGTTTTTCCGAGTGAATGTGCTCTGGCGAGAGACATACAAACACGGGTACGATCTACTGAGTCCACATGATTTTTTTGCGAATCCTTTCCCAAACCCTCATCTGTGGATAGATATAGATTCGTCGTGTCATACTGTGTTACGGAAGACAAAACTTATGACTTGTGTCATTTTCTGTTGACGGTTGTTGGACCCTCGAAACATGCCGCAGGGCTCTTGGACCTCCGGCCTGGAGGTGTTCCGGCTTCTCCTCGAGGACCTTCGGCCGAGGGGGCTCAGCCCCAAACAGTCTACTTGGAGGTCGCTTGCAAGGTAAAGGCGTCCGGGCCAGACCACCAAGACAGCGAAGCAAGCAAGCAATGCAGTGTCTTCTGTGTGATCTTCCCATGTCATTCTCGCGAGTGTCACATTGTGACTGATGTTTGTCGCCTGTTGGATAGCATCGGCTCGTGGGGTTTGTTGCCCGACCGTTCTTTGGAACCGTTTTTGGAAAATCAGAGCGGTCCGTCCGGTGCTTCTCTTTGCGCCTTGAGCGGGAGAACTCCCATCTACACATTGGGCGTGCGCGCTGCTGCTGTCGTTCTGGCTCGGAGATTTGGCCTGTATTGTTTTGTTGTACACGCGACACACTTCGCCTCTCGTTGTAACGCTGTATCGCTGTCTGTTGTGGTGCCAGTTACCTTTTATTCTTTGTCCTCCACGTACGCGTACGATGGAGGGGGGGTTGTGGTTGCTGGTGTCGTGTTACCCTGCGGGAATGTCTTGATACAATGTGGCTCTTGTCCCGCCTGCCTTCTCTCTGGGGGTCCCGTGCTTCTGCTCCCGGTGGACCTGGCCTCCTTGCCTTGCCGCCGACTCTGACCCCTGAGAGTCGGTCTTGCTTTTTATCTTTTTTTTTTTGGTGGTGCTTGTTTTCCAGAGGCCTTCGCTCCGCCGGGCAGGCCGACCAGGCCTTGGTGGTCTTGCGACAGGCGCTGAGGGCTGGCGTGGGAGGCATCGACGAGCAGGTATGTAAATAGTATAGATACATACATACATGCATACATACATACATACATACATACATACATACATACATACATGCCATGTACATAGGGGTGGTGGATCGAAACGCACGCATTTCCAAACCTACAGCATCAGTTGCCTCGCATTGCCTACGGCACACGCCTGTTGTGCGTTGCGTTTCCTCCGCCGTCCGCGTTATTTACCCTTTCCGTTGACGAGGGAGAACTCCCATGTGCACATTGGGCGTACGCGGGGGGCACCCGTGCTTGCTTGCTTGTGGTAGTGGCGGTGTGTCGTGGAGCTGTTACGGTCAAGACCGGTGCTCGTACTTGTTGGTATGTTAACATTCTCGAACACCGACATGCCTATCTTTCTCTCTGTCTCTCTTCTCTCTCTCTGTCTCTCTGTCTCTCTCGGTCTGTCTGTCTGTCCCTCTCTCTCTCTGTCTCTCTCGGTCTGTCTGTGTGTGTGTGTGTCTCTCTCTCTCTCTCTCTCTCTCTACATTTTCGTTTTTCCTTCTCGGGGAAGGAAGGTTTGCTCGATTCTGCTGGACCTCTGCGCAGTGAAGGGACGGATGGGGCTGGCCGAAGAGATCGCCTCCCTGATGGAAACTCATCGCATCCCCAAAGGTACACTTCACTACGCCTTAAATGATGTAGGCGTTGCCAGGCTGTTGACTTGCTTTTTGGTCCTGTCGGGCTCTGATCGGTTTGGGCTCGGCTTCCGTCTGCGGCCAAATACAAACAACACACCGTGTTTTTTGTATTTTCGCTTGCGCGGGACGGTTTGCTGGAATGGGGTGTGCGCGCGTGCATCGTTCATCCATCTCCCTACCCTGAAGATCGGAATAGACAGCGCCTCTCTTCCGCCATGATCGCCTGGTCTCGAATAGTTGCCACGCTGCGACTTCCCTCCCCCCCGCTCACTCTTCTAGATAGACGCCGTCAGCTTGGTCATGTTGTCGCCCTCGCACACGTTTTTTCACCAAGAGACCAAGGACAAGACCCACAGGTTTCTCACAGGAGCGTCTTTCCCGCGCGTTTTATTGAACCCAAAACAATTAGAGTGCACCTTGTTTTTTTGGTGTTGTTGACGTGTACTGCATGTATGTACTGTACTGTACTGCTCAGGACCCGTGACGTACTGCGTGCTCCTCAAGGGGTACGGGCGTCAACGGCGTCTTCGAGGGGTGGAGAGCACGATGAGGGAGATGAAGGAGAGGGGGATTGTCCCCGACGTGGTGGCCCTAAACGCTGCGGTCGATGCCTTGGTCAGGTACCATCACACTAGCACTAACATCAGCAATGACGACGCGTATCTTGCGAACGCGACTTTCGTTATTGCTGTGGTCGTTGCACTACATAATACAGCTGTCTTGGGTCGTACCGCAAATGATACAAGACACCCCCCCCCCCCCCCCCCCCCCCCCCCCCCCCCCCCCCCCCCCCCNCCCCCTGGACCGATTTTCAAATCTATATTTCTCAACAACAGAGAGAGTCACGGCGCCGGAAACGGCGGCGTTGGAACTGTCTCGTCGAGAGCTTTCAAAAAATGTATCGTTTCGTTTTTGCATCCTCTTCGTCTTGGAGTAATCGAGCTTTGAAAATCGGTCCAGGGGATGTGTTATCTTGTGTCATATACGGTATTCTCTTGTATTTCGTGCTTCTCCACACGATCGAGCGAGCGATCTACCTCGGGCTGTGTGCTGTCGCATGACCTTTGTTGGTCGTTTTTTCTTTGTCGTTTGATGTTGATTTACACGGTTAGGATGTTAGGACCCGCCGTGTCTACTGCTGGGTCAACCGCCTACCACAGCCACCCCCTCTTTTTCTCCGCACTAACTATCGTAATTGCGCACGATGTAGTAGCTCTTCTGACAGAAGACAATCCCTCCCCCCGACGACCAACCAACAGGTGTGGAGAGCTCTCCAAGGCCCGAAGCGTCCTTCGGAGCATGGAAGAGTCTCCCGGGGGCTCCATTGCTCAGACCCTCTCCTACAACACCCTGATCAAGGGGCTGGGGAGGGAGTTGCTCGTAGACGAGGCGTTCGGGGTTGCCAGGGGAATGCTGGACAAAGGGTGCTCGCCCGACGAGGTAAGGAAGCAATCGAAAGGCATCGATTGAGTTCTCCGTGTGTGACAAGACTCACTCCTGCTGTCGGGTCTTTTTTTTTTTTCTTCTGGTTGGTGCCCGCTGCGCTCGTCGATGTTTGCATGCCCCCGGCCGCCGGCAACATTGTCACGAAGCACGCCACTCCCCCGCGAAGAAAGGAGTGTAGTGCAGCTGGGGCACTTCCAGAGCCGCCGCCGCCTTCTGTTAGCCGGCGTCCTGTGTTGTGCGCGGAGAGGGAACGGGCACGTTCCGTCTGTACAACGACGAGCCATCGCCGAACACATGAAGAACGTCTCACTAGAAGGGTGTCTAGTCCACACGGTGTTCGTGTTTTTGTGTACACACACCCTCACCCCCCCGCCCCCGCCCCCCCCAAACACGTCTTGCATCCAGGTGACTACGAACTCCCTGGTGGACATCTGCGTGAGGTCCGGAAACCTAGACCGCGCGTACAACCTCCTCAAGAACCCTTTGCTGTTCCCGCCGCCGCCGCAACCCGGTCTTGACGCCGGCTCTGCAACAGCAGCGGCAGAGGCAGGGACGGACGCCGGCGGCGTTGAGGGCACGAGTCCGGGAGGAGAGAGGAAGGAGGCGGGCCTCGTTAGGCCGTCCGTGGAGGCTTTCACGTCGGTGCTTACCGGGTTCGCAGGAGTGGGAGACAAGGACCGCGCGCTTGCGGTCTTCCAGCAGGTGCTCGTTTGTCGAGTTTCCCGCAACATTCATGTTCGAGTTGTTGTTATTTGGAAGCGTTCTTGATCTACCTGTTTGGCCTGCCGGCTATGGGCGGCACTCTTTGTTAGATTTTTTCTGCTTGTCCTCTCTCTGCTAGAATAGAAGTGCAATGTCACGGTTTGGTACAACAGTGAGCACGCACGGAGAGATAGGTGGGTATACTATTTCCTAACCTCTCCAACCCGAGGTAACGCACGTTCGACAGAAGATTCCCGGAACCAAAGAGGCTTGAGTACATTTCCTCCTGTTCGTGTTTGGGTCAGTCTTCCTCTGTTTCGCCTCAAGTTCGTGACGTTGTTGACCGGCGTTTATTTGTGCCAAGAACAGCTCTTTTTTTTCGCCAAGAACAGAGACTGCAGCTTCAGCAGCGCGTTGTCTATAAATTGTTTTGGACTCGCCCTGTTCAGGCGCCCCTTTGCACGCGAGGGCACCGTGCTCTCCAAGGACATCCCGCCCCTCCCCCCCACTTTGCCTCGCCTTTCATCCGGAAACCCCTATATTTCGGACATCGCACCACCTCAAACACACTTTTTTGTGGTTGTTATCCAGATGGTGACGGCGGGAGTGGAGCCCAACGTCGTGACCTACACAGGGCTGATATCGGCGTGCGTTAATGCGGGAGATATGGATGGGGCCAGAAGACTTTTCAGCGCTCTGGAGGTGCATTCGCCTTTCCTTTTCTTTTACTTTCCTTTCCACTGTTTTCAAGCCAACAAAGCTGTGCATCCCACACATGCGAGAAAAAACGGACCGTCGTTCCGACCCACGTATGCATCCTACCTACACAACCAACCACACACGAAAATAAACGATCCAGCGTTGCGATGTAACACCGAACAGCAATCCCGATGAGCGGCAACGAGTTTTTTTGCTGAAAATCTCTTCTTTCTTATCTTTCTATCGGTCGGTCAACCAATCATCAAGGCGCGGGGGGCGGAGACACCCGCGATGCAGCCGTCCGCCTTCACGTACAATACGCTCATCCGCGGCCTCTGCCGCATGGGCAACGACACCCCCGCCGTCCGGGACACGGGCGTTGTCGAGCCCGAGGAGGACATGGACATGGACATGGACATCGGGATCTTCGCCGATGAGGACCTGCTGCCCTCGCCGGATGGCGGCAGTGGTGGGGAGGGCCGCTCGGCAGTGATGGCAACGAGACCCGGGGGTTACTTCTACGAGAGGGGTGCTTCCTCCTCCTCCTCGTCCTCCTCCTCCTCCTCCTCCTCCCCGTCCAAAGATCCTATCCCCTCGAAAGATCCGACGGGTAAAAAGGCCGACGGTTCCTCCAAAGATCGGACGGGTGGGGAGATCGACGGTTCCTTCAAAGATCCCAACTTCTCCAAAGATCCGGCGGGTAAAAAGACCGGGGGTGCCCCTGGTCCGCCGGCCCGGAACGATGACGAGACTGTCGCCTCGTTTTCGTCCCGGGGAGGAGAGGACGGCGACGAAGCGTCCCCGGGGGTCGGATCGCCTCCGGAGATATTGCCGGCCTCCTACGCCGGCAGCGGCCGCAGCGGCAGCGGCAGCAGCGGCGGCAGCAGCAGCAGCAGCAGCAGCAGCGATAGCGTTAACGGAGGTACCATCCCCGAGGGCATCCAAGAAGCTTTGCGGGTAAGTTTGAGATTTTTTTTGCTGTCTGGAATTGTCGGGCAGCGGCAGTTTTTTGTCTTTGCGTACCCCTCTCTTGGTGCTCTGCGTACCCAACGGCCCCTTCTTTGTGTACGTCGGTTACCGGCAGTCAGCTGTGCCCCCCTTCGTCACCCCCATGCTCACCCTTGTACCTGCCTGGTTTCGAGCTCCTGCTGCCATCACTACTCCATATCCCCCCGCTACCACACCCACTTTGTTCTCAAGTTTTTTTTGTTGTGCGATTCCATTAACGCGTAACATCTATATTTTTTCAATATTTCCTTTTCCGTTTTTGATCCGGTTTTTTTTTTTCGATCGCCGAAGGTTCTTTTGTCGATGCGTCGGAGAGGGGTGCCGGCCGACGAAGTGACGATGAACTCCATCATCGACGGGCTCGTGTCCTGCTCTCCCCCGAGGGTACAGGAGGCGGAGACGCTCCTGAAGCTCATGACCGGCTGGGGCCTCAAGCCGAACCAGGTACCAAACCTGCCTTAGTTAAAAACATGCTAATGATGAAGTCTGGGTTTTCCACGTGGAGTTTTCGTTGGTGCGGTAGTTTCCTTCCGACCCTTAAGGCGTACGTGCTCACCACATGTTTCAACAGGAATGAGGACGCCTGCCCGCGCGCCCTTGGGCTCGATGCGTGACATTCGTGTGCCCCCCGTCTTTGTTTTTTTGCTTTGTTGACGAACACGTTCATGGGATTCCTCTTTTCTGAACAGATCGGGTGTAACATGCCTGTAGTCTTTTCTTTCCCTTTCAAACACCGTTCTCGACGTTCACGTCGGTTTCTTTTCTTTTCTTTTTTTGACAGGTTTCCTTCACCGTGATGCTCAAGGGCTACGGGAGGATAGGAGACCTCGGGGCCGCCGAGCTGATGTTCGAGGTCATGGCCGCCGATCGCGACCAGCGGCCAGACGTCGTTGCCCTCAACTCCATCCTTGACGCGTGCGTTCGGAACGGAGATCTGCGGAGAGCGGTGGAGATCCTCGAGCAGGTGATACATATGCATATGATTGGTGACGGTCACCAATTATATACAAAACTCCTCATGTCCTGCATGACGTGGAACATCGTTTTTCTATCGCAGGCTGGGTTGAGTTGAAATTGCTGTTGTCGGTGGTGGTGGGGAGGGGTGTTATCTTGTGTAGCATTAGTTCCTTTTGATTTTTGTTTTGTTTCTCAATCTCTTCACTACTGTCTCTCTCGCTTGCCAGTTGTTTTTTTACTTGTCCCACTCATGGTGCTGGGGCTCTCTCGTTTTTATGTCATCCTTAACCCCCTTCTCTCCTTCCTTCCCTCCCTCCCTCCCTCCCTCTCTCCCTCGCAACTCTCATTCAGGCGAGCGCCTCAGCCCTGAGCAGGCGACCTATCTTCGTCCCTCACCAGGACTGGGTGTCCTCGTCTTCGACCAGGAGACCCTGGGGGGGCGGGGCGGGCGACGGGGCAGTTGCGATCTGCGCCGCCGCCGCTCCGGGTGGTGGCATCGGTGAGACAGAGAACATGCAATGAATCGTGAGAGGGAAGGTCAGGCAAGCAGGCAAGACGAGGCAGACGGGCAGGCAGACAAATCAACGTGGCGCAGCTTTTCAACCAGCAGATGCAGCTGCCTCACTGCTTGCTGCTGTCTCGACGTGGTGGGGTGTAGGGCCCAAGATCGCTTGCTGTTTTCGATCCAGCAGAGAACAAGACCTTTTGTTTGGCGCACACCTTGTGCAGGGCTCTTGCTCGTCATTTTTATTTGGTGTGTACGCGTAACTGATTTTTCTGTCGTCGCGTTCTACCCCCCCCCGTCATTTGTTTTATTTTTTCATCAAGATCCTGGTGTTGATTACTTTGTTCACCGGCGCATCTACAGACGTCCCTCGGTTGAGGACACGCCCGGCTTTTCGTTTAAACAGGCGCCCTTCTTAAGCCGGGCAAGTGTCCGTACGGTTGATGCCCCTCCGTATGTTGTACATTCTGCGAGCCACCATGCCTATGAGAAACAGGTATTTCTTAATCCGGGGAGTGTCCTCAAAAATGGCGTCCTTCACCGAGGGATGACTGCTGTATCCAGTAGGTGACAACATCACACATCGCTCGTTTTTCACCTCCGAGGACTGTATCTTGACTTTTCACCTGCCCGTGTCAACTTTTGTTTGTTTTTTTCTCGTAAAATGACCTTCTTTCTCGAGCAGGTGTGGACGTGACGGACGAACGAGAGAGGGTGCCGAAGGGGGGTTCCGCGGTTGTGACGGGGCTAGGCCGAGGGCGAGGCAGGGATGAGGGCGTGGTGGTGGACGTCTGGCCAAACCAGGTACTTCGGTTACATGTTTGCCTTTGCCGTGTATGTGGAAGGGCGTGTCGCGCCTCGACGGGGGCATGTTTTGTTGGGGCAAGGGGGGGGGGGGGTACTCATAGTCGTGCATGCC